GGCAATCACGATCCTCCTTCCTTCTATCTCCCCCCTGTTCCTTTCCGATCTTCCCGGTCCCGTTCGCTTGCTCATCTTCCCTACTACAAATGTTCGACCTGTCGGCGCGGTCCCCGAGAACGGGGGGGGGGACGTGCCTTAAACTTCGTTCTCGTGTTTTATTGATTGCCAGTTGTGCGTGCGTAGAGCCATTCACTGCGACGATGTTGTACATTTCGATTTTGTGCTTTGGCGTTTACGTGGGCGAACGAACTTGTGAAGCGGGTAAATGGAGGCGGAGGAAACGGCAGTGATGGCTTATCTTTACGCCCCGGTCGATGTCTCATCTCGAATTGTCTGCCGGTTGTCGCGCCTGGAACTAACACGTCAGAATCTGGTTTCTTGAAGTGCGGTGTGTTCGCTCACGCCCCACTTCCGCCTCCCGTTGCCCAAGTGAGCGCCGGGAAAACAGATGCGTGTTGCTTTTCTCTCGCCGGTCTTCCCACCCGGACTCCATGTTTAGTCTTGACCATTTCCTTTCGAAATACTTTGAAGAGTGCCATGGCTTTAAATCTTTCCAGGAACTGCACGCGCATTGAATATTGATCATTCGTTCGCCCGTAGTCTTTTCACCAATTCAGGCTGGTTAGAAGTGTGTAAAAGTCTCTTTTGAGGTCCACCGATCGGCGCTGGCCGATCCATCATTGGGTGGGGACTGTCGTACACTAATCCACTTCTGGTTGGATATTTGAGGCGCGTTTGCGCGGATTCCCCCCTCAACACGCGGCCTCAGGTAATCGTTGGGAAATTAAAGAACCAGCTAGTCTTACTTATCAATGGGCGAAGAATTTTCCTAAAATTCTTTTTTCTGGCTTTATTTCACAAATTTGCGCCGAAGCAAATTTACGTCATAACGTAGTTGGAGGGGGGGGGAGCTCCAGCGGCGACCATGGGCCGCAACAATTCTAGACTTCGGCTAGCTATTCTTGCTCAGGGACCACCGTCTTCCGATGAGAATGGGGGGAGGTTGTGTTTGGCCCAGAATTTTTTTCTGAATAGTGATGTCCCCCGCGCGCTATACTCTGATCTGGGGATCTGGGAGGGGGAGGGGGCAGGGCGATTGGCGAAAATTTTTTTTGGGCAAAGTCGGTTGTTGGTGCTTGAAAATGGGGGAGTTACGAACGAGATAATCTGGGAGAGGGTTTGTATCTCGGCAAAAATTTCCAAGCCAGGACATGCTGTGTCTAAACCTGAGGCGCTGGGGGAGAGAGAATTTTCCACATTGACGGACGCGTGTCAACTTCTGATCGTCTGCGCTCTCTCTCCAAGTGGGCCTCCTCCAACTTTAATAGCGCTTATGTGCCTTCTTCCGTTGTTTACCGTTCTATATGTGCATTATATCAAACGCATATTCATTTGTTTATCGAATTTCACCCCGCTCTCAAATATTTGTTCATAGGTGTTTGTCTTATGATATGGACCACGATCTGCAAAGGAACATAACCAAGTTCGGCTAGATGGGGGCATTTCACTAATTTTCATCGATTACTAATGACCTGTGAACTCTTGTAAAGCTATGTGAGGGCAGGAGCTTCGTTTACACTTGGCAGGAGTCTACTCGTTCTACCGAAGATAAACGTATAGTTTAAAGGAACTAGCAACAGAAACTAGCCAAATGCGAAATGTCAAGCCGAATAACGATTCCTTGTTAGTGACGTAATATGAGTGAGCACATATGCGTCACAGTACCTGCGTTGTTTGGTCCTGCATAGAAATCAATAGGTGGTCGTATGCGGAAGACGTTACTGTACCTTTGAAGGTCACCTGTACTTTATGTTTATGCCATGAATGTGTGCCTCTTTATTGATCGTAAATCCATCAACTTGTTGTTGTCTCAATTTTTTAATGCATTAAAGGGGGTTTGCACCCTAATTCATCAGACATAACGTCTCCTTGAGCGTTCAGAGTTCTCATTTTTTAGAAGTGCTAGGCGTGCCAGGATGAGAATCGATAGATACTGGTTTTTAGGGATTGTACGAACAAGGGAACGAGGTGGTACGGGTTGTTCAGGCATGGGCGAACCAGATATGTCACATGTCTAATGATTGGGATTTCTTTTGAACTTTTTGTCTTCCCCCATGAAAGCTAGCGTGGTGTGTAAAGTGCGCTATTAGTATTTTACGCATTGTAATTTAGTTCCTGCTTCGGAGGCTAATCCCTAAAGTTCGCCAGTACCTCCCATGCACTTACAGTAACGATTATTCAGTAGGGAACAACTGGCTCACAGAAGCATTTCGGCGTAAAGTAAATTGCAATACGGCATGCTACTACGAATAGTACACCTTATTCGGCGTGCTTTACCGAAAAAATAGTCTTTATGGATTTGTTACATTGTTTAACGTCTTTCTGGGCTTCCAATTTTAATTTGATGATTTTTTTCATTCCATTCATTCCCGTCCACCATTGTGACATGGCGTGCACTTTTCCCATCAATATTCTGAAAAAAATAATCATGCGATGCGATAACAGAAACGCTTGTTTACCCCAGACGGTTGTTTTCCAAATAGCTGTTGTCAAGAGCAACTGGATGAACTTTGAAGCCTTAATCTCTGGTAATTGGAACGCTTATTTATTTATGAAATGGCCCAGACAGGGCACGCTGTACCTTGGGAATCTCCAGGGAGTGGGAGAGGGTCGTAATTGCCTTTGAGGAAGATGTTCCCATTGTAGTTTTTTTTCCAGGTATTTACTGTTTTATGTGCCCTGTATACCATCCTCCACCCCATCTCCTCTCGACGGCAGTTCTTTGGGCGAATTGGGTAAAAAGGGTAGGAAATTGAGTGGGTAGGGAGGGAGCCGTAGTGAAAAAGAAGTTTTGGGAGTCATGATTCGCAGAATTATCCTCAGCGCAGGACGTGCCTCGGTGCTGGACGCCCTAGAAGTGAAGTACTTCTAAGGCTACAATTTCGGAGAGCGGGTCAACTGGCGCGATAACACTGCCACTGATATGTCCATTGTGATTCGTGGCTCTCTCCCTAGTCGGGTAACTCGTCCGGATCACTGTGCTATTGGATTTTCGTTATCTATGACCTGATCGACATAGAGCCACGGGTTAGACCACGAGTTACGTGACAACTTGAACTTTTCTGTGTGGCCCTGTTGCGAAACCCCAACCACAGGATAGTGGCTGCCTCGAAGAGTGCAAAGAACATGTGGCGCAGGGAATGCCTTTTATCAAGTAGAAGGGGATCCAGGGTAGTTTAGCCACTTATCGTGCTGGAATATGCAAGATAACAGTGGTCACAGAACGCTATGTATACGAGAGGGAGGAGAGAAGAAGAGAAAATTGACGCGGCTGGAGGATTGATTGAGTTCCAGTTGTCCTTACTGTGTAGACAGCATTCCTTATTTCTTTGCGGTAATCCTACTTTTGCACAAGGGATCCATGAAATGCCTCTCCCAAAGGTTACTAGCTTTGGACAATGTCTCAATGATCCGTTGAGATAATAAGGCAGTTAAGTTCTTCGAACCAATTGTTGGGAGACGTGGCAAGAGAATCGTAATTCGCGGTGCGGCGATGGCGCCGCGTTCTCTTAGCTCGTGTTAACCTGTCGATTGGAGCAAGGGACTTCATGCAGACGGGTTGGAGATATGACGTTCCTAGGACGCTGGTCCAAGCTTGACAGGGGTTTACAGGGTAATTGACAGGAACTCACAGGATTTAGGGGAAGACACACGATTGTGAGAAGCCCCTGCACCCCATTTCGGCAGTGTTTTTGCACCAGTTCCGGCTAAAAATATTCATTTCAAACAGTTCCTTGGACTGATACTAGTTACTTGGCGGCTTAACTCAAATAAAGTTACCTTTGGCAAGCGGTGCTACTTATCACCCGCGTTGTCCATGGAGGTCAAGTCCCAGATTTCCTTCCTCCTAGGCCAGCTAAGCTTTTAATCCCTAGTTGAGTGGTAGTAGGGTGGGTTCAGCTAAGGGGGGGGCGCACTATTTGGAGTGGTTAGCGAAACTTCACGTCTACTTCGGTAGAGGAATTTACAAGCCAACTTGTAATGGCCTGTAAATTCCTGTAACCGAAGTAGCATACGTGTAAAAATTCGCAGACTTACAAGGGTTTACAGGTCGGAACAAAATGAGATTTATTTATTTCTACACGCAACCTGCAAATAGGGACTACCGCGGATAAGTGCAGTAGTATGCCCTCGCTTACCAAGCCAGGACAGCAGGCCCTTGGGGCGCTGTTCGGCTTAATTTTCGCTGTTCGGAAATAATTAGAGGGGTAAAAGCACCCACTTCTACATCGGTTGGCCCCGCAAATAATAGTTTCGTGGGCAAAATCGCATTTAAAAATGTCGTTATGATTCTGAATGGAAGTAGATGGGCGGCGCATCGAAAAAGGGATTAATTAGGCTGGAAGCTTTTATCCCTCATGTTCGACAAGCCTTACATCTAATGCACTTCATAGAAAAACTCCCAAATGTGTTTCTGAAGGTGGGCGGTAACTGGCGCCGCGGCAGGTCCCGACACGATTCACTGCACTTAGCACGTGAGTAGTAGGGCAAGCAGCTGAGCCATGACGGGAGTCTCGGCGCAGGACTTCCGTCCGACAAACGCACTTTTCCTCATTTCCTTTCGCTGATGGGGTTTTGAACTCGTTCACTCTTGGAAAAGCCTCTTGAGTGACATTAACGGCCTGCGGCTGCTTAGCGACGGTCGTTGTTGTTGTTTCATCTCTATGATGGAGCTAGGGGGGAGTTCGCAATAGTACTGCCCTCAGTATAACTTTGGATCAGTTATGATGCCGGTACTAGGGTTAGTTGTGGCGCTAGTTCGTGTGCCCCATGACGCTATCACAGCCCTCTGATTGATCGTTGGCGGCTGCGTCCGGCGGTTGTCGTCCTCGCAGTCATCACACCACACATTTCGCTCACGAGTTCGATTTTTAAACACTTCGCTTTGTCATTCTCCAGTCATTTGACTAAAGTCTAACTATATTTCTCTACAGCATATGACTGACATGGCTTCGACATCCGCTGGAGCGCTACGAGCGCTAGCTATGGAATTGAAGAACATCGAGTCCCAGCCACTAGAAGGTTTCACCATTTCGGCCAGCGATGACAATTTATTCGTCTGGACTGTAGGAATCTATGGACCTCCAAATACGCTATATCAGGTATTCTTTTCAACTTCCAATTATAAATTCCAAGGCCGTGTTCGCTCATGACGACTTTGGAAAAATGGCAGAACTGTGGATGGAAGAATGTGTACGTATCGATCTGAAGAATTGGAATTGAGAGTAGTGTACAATCTCCAGCCATGCCGAAATTCCGCAGAATTTTCCGGTCCTGGAATATCTGTCAACCCTGATCCTCCCTTTTTCTCCCTGCTCCTTCCTTCTTTCGCTTCCTTCCTTCCTCTCCTTTCTTATTTTCCTTCCTGGCCAAAATAGCGGTGAAATACCTATCGTTACAGCAAGAGAAAATCTAGTTGACAGAAGCCCTGTAATAAATTTCTCCGAGTGGCGGGACTGACCAATTAGTGCCTATCAAGCCGTTCATCTAGTACGTTGGGTTCTCAGTGGGGGGGGGGGTCGTGGGGTCGTATTTGATCGCTGGATGGGGATCGTATTTAATCGAAAGAAATTTTGATAGTTTGTTTTTTCCCTTTTCACGCTGTCGCTGTCCACATCGTTGGGAGAATTCTATTGGCTGGGCGTCGTATTGTCGTTGGGAGGAAAGGACTGCCTCGGAAAGAAATTTGCCACGTCGCGAAAAAAATTTCTTACGTCCCGTAGTTGCTAGTGTTTCAGAACTACTATGTTCGATAGTTGAAATTAGTAGATGGTTGATGACGATTCCCCCTCCCCCCCTTCGCTCGACGCCGACTTCCGAAAGAAAGCTGAATTTAAGAAACTTCAGGAAGTGTTATAGGAAGTTGGGAAGAAAAAGAAGAAGGTGGGTAGGAGGTCGTGTTCACGGAAGTTTCCCCTCTTGCCCTGCCATCAAGTCTTTATTCGCAAATGCGGCATTTCGGTAGTTTCCACGGTACTTCGAATCGATACGTGTTTTTTCTTCCACCCGTCGTCAAAGTCGTCATGTATGAATGCGGCCCAAAAGAATTTTGAAAAATATATTGTCAATAAATGGCTTTCAGGGAGGATATTTTAAAGCTGTGATACGTTTTCCGCCAAATTACCCCTACTCACCGCCATCAATGAAATTTCTCACCAAAGTTTGGCATCCTAATGTTTATGAGGTGAGTGTGAAATGCTGATCAATTTTTGAACGCAAAGTGCTATTACAACATAGTACAAGGCGGTTAATCCGCGTTCGTTATATCGATTAGACAAGCCCGCTGGAAGGGGAAGAGGGGGAGGGGGAAATTTCAAGACTTGAGTGAAACTTGTGTCGCAGTAAGGTGTAACACATTCTCAGACAAGGGAATTTGTTCGCACGCTTATCCCTGTGTCCTCATTTTGCCAAAGCAAAACTTCTCAACATTTCTACGGCTACCCATTTTTGAAGTCCTAACCCCCCTCCCTCTGGACCACCTCTCTACTCGCTGCATCTTGAGGGGTCAAGAAATACTTCAGCTAGTCAAAAGATATGGTTCTGGTGGCCAACGGGACGAATTCCGCGCCATCGATTTCATTGTGTTGTTTGAGCGGCCCATGCTTTTAACGATAAAAACATCCTTTTACTCAATAGTTGAAAATTTTCAGAATGGCGATCTTTGCATTAGCATCCTTCATCCTCCAGTTGACGATCCACACAGTGGCGAGTTACCTTGCGAAAGGTGGAACCCAACCCAAACGTGAGGTGAGTCAGCTTTACTTAATTTTTGCATCTAAAGGAAACTAGTTTCTGACGTGTAGAGGAGGGAGAGAGCGAGACCATAACATACTGCGACGCAAGTAATCGTCTGCAGTGGAATAATGGTTCCTTCCTTCCTGCGAGCTTAGTTTCGGGTGGTACCTAGCCGCCCACTATGCTCAGGGAAAAGAAGGGGCCACTGCGGAATTGGAGAAAACTGCGGAAAAGTCGGAAGCTCCGAGGATTCTCCGACTAGCCCATTTCCATTTTTCAGTCTCCCCAGTCCTCCTGTTCTATCAAAGTGATAGGTGAATTAGTCAGGCACGCTCATTCCTATTTCGGTCCCCCCCCACCATCTTAACATCTTACTGTACTTCCTGAGAGAAATTCCATGGGATTCTTACGCAGCTCTCTTCTTCCAGGTTTTGACACAAGGTTTGAAAGTGACATGCTGAGGAATGGTTCATATCCTAATGTGTAACGTTCGTTTCAGGACCATTTTGCTTTCTGTAATTTCATTGCTAAACGAGCCGAACACTTCCTCACCAGCAAATGTGGACGCCTCCGTTATGTACCGAAAATGGAAAGAAGGAACGGATATGAATTATGCAGATATCATCAAGTGAAGGATTTCCTCTTCCTCATCAATTATTAAGCGATGAATAAGCCCATAGTGCTCGTAATCGCCACTGGAAAATCGGATATGGCATAATTTCAGGAAGCAAGTTGAGCTGTCAAAGGAGGAGGCTCGAAAGGATGGTGTCACTGTTCCGGAAACCCTCGAAGAGTACTGCATAAAATTCCATCCACAAAGTTGCGACGATCAAACGATGGAGTTGCTCGATTTAGGTTGGTTTCAACAAAGCCATCTTCAACCTTTCAGGCAGTAAACAGCAAATAAGTTGGTATTGCTCGGCTTGGGAGGGGCATATTACTTTATTGCTAGTTCATGGTGGCTAACAGCTCATATTTTGGTGAGACCTGTAAACGCGGGAGGATGCTGCGGAATTGTACATGGGGACCACTTTGGTTACAGCAGTTCTCAGGTCTTCACAGTGTGGCCCGAATAAGTTGTGCTGAGGATCATTTGTTGCTCATCCCATCAGCAAGCCGAACAACCGCGAATGTGAAGAATCCGCCGTTCGGGAGAATCAGCATAGGGAAGTGTGACTATCGGTCTGGAGTGTCCGTTTTGGATGAATAAATTAC